ATGGGAGGGATTTAACCAGGCTGATTAGTTGCAAGGACTAACTGTGACCAATGACCCCCAACCTTCAACCACTGTGGAGCATCATCTGTGCAGGGGTCTACTCCACAGAGCCAGAATTACTTCAGCAGGGCTCTGGTCTTACTGAGTCCACCTCTTGAGTATACCACTTGTGGAAGTGGTTAAGTGATGGCACTCCAACATAGTCTGTAGCTGTCCACACAATACACAGGCTCTGGCACATCTTGGAAGGTATAGGCCAAGGTCAGCCACCACCTGTGTTCTGTCCAGGGCCACCTGGCATAAGCTACCAAGCAATCTACAGATGGCTACTACTTGTGCTGGGCTTGGAGGTGCCCAAGCAAGTCCAACCTATGAACCAAGGCCAGTTGCTAGTAGTGATGAGCCTGGGGCCACTTAACAATAGGCACAGGGCACGCTGAGCCCAGATGCTGCTTGTTTGAGAGCATTTTAAGAAAATCTGAAGCATGAGCCAAGAGAAGCTATTTGCATGGAAAAGCCATGGGCAACAGCTTGGGTGGGCCCAAAGTTGGGCAGGACGAAATCACCAGGGAATCACCTGGGTAGGGCTCAGAAAAGGAACAGTGGCCTCTGCCAGCACTTCTGTCTGGGAGAAAGTTGCTCCATCACCTCTCACTCTGATGTCAGACACCTCAATTCCTCCTGGTATAACTCTGGTGCCTTTTAATCTGCTGCTCTAGTGCTGGAGCTTGAAGGAAGTGAGTCTGAGTAGGTCTATGCATGGGCCCTTTAACAGGAATTGCCAGACACTCTAGCAGTTTGTCTTCTGCAGCCTCATTCACCACTGGTTTTTACCAGAAGTTATGGGGACTTCTCTTCCTGGCACTAGAACCCTGGGCTGGAGGGCCTGGTGTGGAAATGAAGTCTCTTGCTCCAGTTAATCCCTCCTGATTTTTATCCAGCACACATGGGTGTAGGGCCAGCCTGCTTCGCATCTCTGCCCCTCCTACCAGAATTGATGTGGTTTCTTCTTTCAATTCAATGGTTGTAGAACTTCCATTCAGCTCTATGTTTGGTGGTTCTAAATAAGGGTTGATCTGTAGTTTAGTTGTAATTTTGGTGTGGTTGTGTGAGGAGGTAGCTGCGTTTACCCGTGCTCCCATCTTGAATGGAAGTCCTCTCCTTTCCTTTTAGTATCCACATCTTTGATTCTTCTCTATGTATTCTCTCTCCCTTTAACATGAGGCTTCTCCAGGATCCCATTCCCATCCTTCTTTTCTCCCTCGATACATTTTCTTTGAGATATCTCACCCTCTACTGTGGCTTTAACTTCTTTTAAAACCCAAGTCACTCAAAAACTCGTCCTCAGGTGTCAAACCCATATTTGCAAATTGTCCTAAAGGCATCCTAAACTTAACATGTTCTAACAGGACTTTATCCTCTATCTCAGAAATTAATTTAATCCTCTTGAAAATTAACATAATTTTTCATCCAGAGAACCCATTTTTAAAAATTCAATTTACCTTCCTCATTTATTCTCCACATGAAATCTGCCACCAAGTTCTACCTTGGATGCAGTCTCTAAATTGCCCTTTGGAAGTCTTATTAATCTGACATTCTTCCTAATTCCTGCTACCACTACCTACTTTCCAATCCTCCTTTTTTCCCCCTATATACAGCACTAGCTAATCCTACTACCCCACTGATTTCTCTAATATCAGTCTCTCCCCAACTGTAATTTTTTCCTACACTACTGTTAGAAAAATGCATCTAGTCAGTATTCTGCTTAGAAATCCCTGATACCTATATGACAGGAATCCAGGTTTCTTAATATGAGACGTAAGTACAGCTTCATCTCCCACCATTGCATCCAGACACTAGAAGACATCCACTACAGGGATCACATGCTCACAACACCCTTTACAATTCCCTCTTGTTACACTTTCTCCTAGATGATCTGAATGTAACTTTTAAAATTACCTTGATTGCCCTGAAAGCAAAGTTCTCAATACTTTCAGAAGCCTCTGAGACACACCCTTCTCAAAACTCAATCCTTTCTCTGTGCTCTACTATCAGGATTTCAAAACCCAAACTGAAACTGTAGACTGGTAACTGATGGATACTCTTTGCAAGAACCCTCAGCAAGGAAGGAGAGGAAGGGAGAAGTGGGGCTGAACTACCAACTGCTGTCGAAAACCAAAGCCCTTGGGTTGCTATTAAACCTGCCATGCTGATCCCTAACAGATTACAATTTCCCTCATCCTCAAATTCTTCATTTATAGGATAAGGAGGTGGTATCCACAGATGTATCATCTAAGATTTGCATGAACTTGAAAATGCTAAGAAAATCTCCACTATTTTGGGTCTGAGAAGAAGGAAATGAGGCTCTATGAGTATCCTCAGAAAAATAAAGTAATCTTTAGTGTCTTTGCCAGTTTAAAAATATTTTTTCTTAAAATAAATATGATTCATAATCTTGCCACCCAGATAATATCTATTGAAACTTTTCTAGGTTAATTCAATCAACAAATATGTAATGAGTGCCTACCATGTGCCAGGCATAATTTTTGAGTCATGAAATACAGTGTCTAATAAGACAGACAAAGGACAAGTACAGGTTAGGATAGGATAACTACAGTTTTACTAAGTCAGTGTCGTAACAAAGGAAGTAAACTGGATTAAAACAAAACTGAGACTACATCCTCTTATTTGCTTCCTTGGCATTTAGTACAGTGTTCAGCACACAGGAATCACTTAAATGACTTCTGAGTGAATGAACTGAATCTGTAGGCTCCTACATTATGTCATTTACTTGCCAAAAAAGTACGTGACTTAAAGAGACATCTGGACAAATAGAGGAAGTACCAAGATATACAGATTTATTTAGTCAATTTATTTAGTCAGAAGTCACTCCTTTACACAGGCATGTCTCAAATTAATAATGCAGGTAACTTGATGGATGGGCTTGTGGGAAAGATATAATCCTGTTGGTTCTACCTTCAAATATAACCTCAATACAACCATTATCCCACACCTAATCCACAGCCACCCCCGTCATCCCTTTCGTAGACCAAGCTGTGTCCCTGCTTCTCAGCCTAAACCCCTAGACTCTATTTCTCAAATATCTGTTAGAGCCACTGCTTCAAAATATAAATTATATACTGTTACTTCCCTGCTCCAACTTACAATGTGTCCCTTACACTTTTGAGTCCCAACCTTACTCGCATTCAGCCACAGTGCCTTTCCTTACTCCTCTTTAGCAACACTGGTTGTGCTCTTCCTTGATCATGCTGAGCTCTGAAGCCTCAAGGACTCTATTCTTGTTCCTTCTGCCAAGATTTACTGTCCTGTTTTGCTTGGGACGCTACTTCCTCAGTGAGACCTTTCCTGACAACCACCACTAAAACAGCACTCCCCACTACTCTCCTGGTCGCTTACTTTGTTCACATGTTTACATTAAGTATATAAACACATGCACATACATGGCATTTGTTTATTCACTGTCTCCTTCACTGTAATGTAAGGTCCTCAAGGGCAAGAATTTTATTTTCTTCCCAATACCTAGAATGGTAGATGCATATAGTAGGCACTCACATTTTAGAATCAATGAATAAATAAAATGAAGAGACTTAAATAGGATGAGCAGAGACATTGGTTTGGGAAAATGTTCTTATGTCTTTAACTACTTATAATATAGTTCAATTCACACAAAACAAAAACAAACTGCAAACACCCAGCACTGATACTCTGGAGCAGTAACATTCTTCATGAGGAAGAATTCCTCTAACATGCTGTTAGAGGAATAAGACCTGCTTTAAAAAAAAAAAAACAGCTCTGAGATTCTATTAATACTGGAGCCTCTATCATTCCCACTGACCATGCAGACTGCTTCCTGGCCAAGCCCCCAAAGAGGCTGTTTAGTACTTCCTCTGCTCTAAGGCCACCAGTGACCTCCTTCTTTTATCCAGTGAAAGATACTACAAAACTGTCTTAATGGCAGGATCTGTATATTTTAACCTGCCCTGAGCATGTGAGTATACAGAGGCACTCAAAAATTATTTACTGAATTAACTGTGTAAACTTCTTTCAGTCGTTACATTTTCCCCGACTGTGTAGAGCTCAGACACCTTTCTCTGACAAAACAGTAAGTAAAATTAATTACTTGGATAAACTAGTGAGGTCAAGTAGGTAACAGGCCCTTTTTTTGGTTTAAATTATTTTAACAATTGTATTTTTTACATACTTTGTCAAGGTATATATAATCCAAAAGGAGACTGTTCCTCAACCAAAGTGGTAGGATTCATTAGCCCCACAACAGTTGCATTAAAAAATAAGATAAACATAATAGGAATGCAGTACTATAAGTTCAATAAGAAAATTATAAACACCCATCAAAATGAAGTATTTTCTTCTTATAAAAGTTAGTATCTTTTACTCAACACAATACTGTCAGTCCCATTACACTGAAAAATTTCTAGGTATCATCTAAATGGATCCACATTGATTTCCAAAGTATTCCTGTGTAAACAAATTGTTTATAAGCTGAAATTAGTTAAAAAAACATGCACTGTGTCGCAAAAAGAATTTTTGTGTTTGACTACTGGAACTGATCAAGTACTCTTCTGCCAATTAAACAAAGGATTTGAATTTCACCTATTAATGATTTCCATATACATTTCATAACAACTTTCAGCAATTTAGAGGAAATTTAATAAGATAAAGGGTCTCAAGATTAACCTCAAGTCCAACCTGGAGTGGGTATTTTCATCATTAAATAAAAAGGTGATGAGTATTTTTTTACACAGATGTGTCTTCTGCATGGTAAAGCAAGTTAACTAACTTTTGATTCAGACAGAAAAGACTACATATAGAGAGATGTGATTACATGAAGCTTTTATACTCACTTGTGACTACAAACACAGGTCAAATATATAGCAATTAAAACCTGAAATGATCCTCCACTTACAGCCAATGACTAATGTGAGTAAAGGCTTAATATGAAATATAAAAACAGCACAAACCTTTTGATTTCTTTACATCAGGTTCAGGCTCAGATTCCCGGATGAATTGTCCCACATCACTGACTCTTCCAAATGTCATCTTCCTATGTAAGTATGAAAAGAATATAATTTCTAAAAATTGATTTTAAATTCGCAAGAAAAACAGCAAATTTAAAGCATCTCATCTAAATTAAAAAAACAAGAAATACAACTTATAGCTAGCTCATATTATTCAAAGTGAGGCTTACTTTTAAATACAACTGCTCCCCACAAACAGCAAAATAATCTTTAATTTAATGCAATTCCATTCAAATTCCCAAAAAGGCTTATGAAACATGACAAGTTCACAGGTAATTCACATTTCTAAGATTCAAACAGAAGAGAAAATGCACAAGAATAGCCAGATAATTTCATAAAAGAGAAAAAATGGTAGGACAAAATATATTATGGAAGTAGAGTAACATATAACATAATTATGCCAAAAAGCTAAAGTAATATAAAGCAAAGTTAAAAGGTAAAAAACATAATGAAAGGTCTTATCTTTAACAGATTATTACTAACCAATAATTAATATCCAAAAACATACAGAATTCAAACAAGTCATTCAGAAATCACCCAAGAGAGAAATGTGAAAAGGAGATGAAGAGTCAATTCAAAGAAAGTCCTCAACAACCAACAAAAATGCCAAAAGAAGCTCCATCTCATGAGCAATAATGCAGGATTGGTTAAAAAAATTAAAAGTTTGATATTAATGTTGACAATGATGTGGGGAAAATTGGTATCTTTACTAATTCCTGGTAGAATGTAAAATGTACAGATACTTTTAAAGGTAAATTAGTGAGATCTACTAAAATTTTAAATCTGCTTCATGGAACACGAAAGGATATAAAAGGAGGTTCTTTGCTATGCTGTGTCTAACAGTGAAAAATTGAAAACTTAAATACTCAATATCTAAATGACCAAGTAGTGGCACAACATGTTATAATGGAATATTCTGCCATAGTTATAAGCTCTAATTAATATTATATGTAGAATACTATGAGATAGTTGAAATGAGGTAAATCTGTATAGACTAACACAGAAAAATCTACAAAATTCACTATGACTGAAAGCACAAGAAACAGAACACACTGTGATATCAATTACACAAAAATAAACAAACAAAAATATACACTATAGTATAACGATGATTATCCTAATCAGGAAGGAGAGAAAATATGCACTAGTGTGTGATCAAAGGAGTCATTAATTTACACATTTAATTTTTTATAGGAAGAGATTAATATAGTTGTAATTAAAAGTTAGTTAAAAAAAAACACCAAACTTTGTGATGCTTATATATTATTTCCTTTCAGGCAAAGTGGATCTGATTTTAGAGATAGCCTTCCTGTCATTTCATATTTAGAGATAAGTCATTTCATATATGGGTCCACTACACCAACTGATAGAAACTTGTTTTCCTTGACAAAATTTCCAGAAGATGCTAAAATCATAAAAGTAAACCCTGGAAACTACCTTTAAAGATGGGGAAATATCCCTCTGGCTGGTGTGGCTCAGTGGACTGAGCAGCAGCCTGCAAACCAAAGGGTCACCAATTCAATCCCCAGTCAGGGCACATGCCTGGGTTGTGGGCCAGGTCCCCATTAGTGGGTGCATGAAAGATAACTACACATTTCTCCCTCTTTCTCCTTCCTTTCCCCTCTAAAAATAAATAAATAAAACCTTTTTTTAAAAAGTTGAGGAAAAATCACCTCTATTTATGACCAATTTTATAAATTGTTTTTAAAAATTATATTTTATACACAAAAAACTCTGCAATTGACACTTTAAGTTTTTAAATAAATGAACCAACCATTCTTTAAGAATAAATATCATCTTTGGAAATTAACTCATTTAGGCTTATAGTGTGCCATTTCCTAAAAGAAAACAATGCTGACACAGCTAAAGTGTGCTTTCCAAAGACAATGTGGTCAAATAACCTTTCACTTACTTGAAAGCACCTTTCAGACTCCTTGGTCTTCCAACTATCACTGTTACTTTCTTATAAAAGCAATTAAATATGTTTAAATCCCTGTTTTATGGCACTGCTGGGACTGGGGTTGGGGTTGAGTAATCAAGCTATTGCAGAGGTTTATTTAGGCAAGAGGAAGTAATTTTATGATTTGATCTTTCATGAAGTTTAGTAAGTGGCATATCCTATAAATCACTGTCTTTTTGTTACAGGACAATATAAACAACCAAGTTAATTCTCAAATACAAAAGAATAATTTCATTCCTTTTTACAAGCTATTAGTTATACAGTATAATGATATTGGCATCTTTGTACCGTAATAAGTGATATTAGCATCTTTGTACTTAATTTTATTTTTGCTTTTAAGACAGGGCCTTTGAAATAGTTAACATGTGGATCAAATGAAATATGGACAAAATAGCCCCACAAGTACCATATCAACATGACACTGCATCTATCCCATTCATGGTGATGGAATAATGATGGTAATTATACTTGTGGAGTGCTTACTAGATGGTAGGCATGCTTTAAATTCTTCTATATGTTATCTCCTTTAATCCTCTCAACAACCCAATGAAGTAAAATTATCCTTATTTTACAGATGGAAAAACTGAGACATAAAGAGGTGAAGTACTTGTCAGTAAGTGGCTGAGACAAGACTAAAACCCAGCAGTCATTCCTGAGCCTTCACTCTTAAACACGTCCTACTGTACACTATTTGTAAAAGTGCTGGGCATGTAATAGTAGATTAAAATAGATTAAGTTAAAATATAAAAAGATGCAAAATTCCCTATACTTGAAAAAATTCTAGACATGTGCCAAGCTTACCCTGCATATGTCCGTTGGTATAAAGATTCTGGATCCAGACTCGCAGCATCCACAATTATTGCTTCATCAAAATTTTTCAGAATTTTAACACTAGCTTTTTTCACACTGGTCTACAAGAGAAATTGTAAAATTAGTGGTATATTACTTAAGAATCATATCACTCCTGATTTTGGAATATGACAGATTTTTACAAAATCTACGGTGTCTCAAATACATGTAATACTTCACTCAACCCCATCATTACTGTGATGCTTAACAGCAATGATTCTGAAATGTATCAATATATAACTACAGGAAAAAAGCAACTCTTAAAATGTACAAATGAATTCACATGCCAAATCTGTTTTTCTTAACTAGTGGAATTCCCACAGATGTGCTGTCTTCACAGCATTAGGGTTCCTAGTGTACAAAACTCCCATCCATACAGATACATATGCCTAATGAATGTAAAGCCCAACTTTCACAAGCATGAATGCCAGATGACAAAAGCTGAAGGGAACTTTCTAAGATGACCAGCTACATGAGTGTATTAAGGTCTCCTCCACACTCTACTTCTCCACTCCTCATCTGCACATAAAAAGCAAGTCAAAATTGGTGCTTCTATGAAATACAGAGCCATGGGTTGACCCGGAAATTCCACTTCTAGAAATTTAATTACAGACTTACAGTTCTGCAAAATGACTTATATACAAGATTATTCACTGCAGCATTGTTTAAAATAACAAAAGACAGGAGACAAACTTAATACTTACAACAGGTTAAACTTAATACAGGTTAAATTAATAAAATAAATAATTGTGCAGATACTTATAGAACATTCTTTGAGGGCGGAGGTGAGGGAGGGTTCTCTTAATGCAGCAAGAAGGGCACATAGTTAAAAAGAAAGAGGTGCTAGAGTAAAGAAGTGGCAGCACTTCTGTGAGGCCACTGCTATCTGGACTCCAAAACCAGACAGCACAACAAAACCACAGACCAACCTGTCTTCATTATAGATGCAAAATCCTCAATAAAGTACTAGCAAGCCAAATCTAGACACATACAAAAATAATTATATACCACAACCAAGTGGGATTTATCCCAGGAATGCAAGGTTGGCTTAATGTCTGGTAATCAATTAATGTAGTGCATATACTATATCAAGAGCAAAAACCAAAAGCCTGAATAAATAATTATCTCAACTGATGAAGAAAGAGTATTTGACAGAACCCAACACAGTTTCTTGCTAAAAAGCATTCAACAAATTAGGAATACTAGGGAACTTCCTCTACTCCATAAAGAGTATTTATGAAATACCCACACCTAACATATTCCTAAATGATGAAAAATTGAAAGATTTCCCCCTGAGATGAGGAACAAGACAAAGATGCTCACTTTTAACACTTCTATTCAACAATGTACTAGAAGTTCTAGACAGAACAATTAAGCAAGAAAAGGAAATAATAGGCATCCAAAGCAGACAGGAAGAAAGAAAACTTTCTATTTACAAATGACATGATCTTATACACAGAAAATCTAAATAATCCACAAGAAAACTATTTAAAGCTAATTTAGTAATGTTGAAGGCAGAAGATCACACACAAAAGGTGGTTATATTGCTATGCATTATCACTGATGAATCAAAAAATGAGATTAGCCCTGGTTGGCAGAGCTCAGTGGATTGAACCTGGGCTTGAGAACCAAAGAATTACAGTTAAATTCCCAGTCAGGGCACATGCCTGGGTTGCAGGCCAGTTCCCAGCAAGGGATGCACAAGAGGCAACCATACATTGATATTTCTCTCCCTCTCTCCTTCCCTTCCCCTCTAAAGACAAATAAATAAAATCTTTAAAAAATGAGATTATGTATTACAAAGCCACTGTAATCAAAACAGCCTGGTACTGGCATAAAAACAGGCACATAGACCAATGGAACAGAACAGAGAGCCCAGAAATCAACCCAACCCTCTACAGTCAATTAATATTCGACAAAAGGGGGCAGTAACATAAAATGGAGTAAAGACAGCCTCTTCAGCAAATGGTGTTGGGAGAACTGGACAGCTACGTGCAAAAAAATGAAACTTGAGCACCAACTTACACCATACACCAAAATAAATTCAAGGTGGATAAAAGACTTAAATATAAGCCATGACACCATTAAAGTCCTAGAGGAGAACATTGGCAAGAAAATCTCAGATATTCCACGCAGCAACATTTTTACCGATATGTCCCCTAGAGCAAGGAATATAAAGGAAAGAATAAACAAATGGGATCTCATCAAAATAAAAAGCTTCTGCATGGCTAAAGAAAACAGTATTAAATTAAAAAGACAACCAACTGTATGGGAAAACATATTTGCCAATGATACCTCAGACAAAGGTTTAATCTCCAAAATATACAAAGAACTTACACGACTCCACTCTAGGAAGACATCGAACCCAATTAAAAAATGGGAAAAGGACTTGAACAGACACTTCTCTAAAGAGGACATACAGAACATCCAGAGACACATGAAGAGATGCTCAATATCGTTAGCTATCAGAGAGATGCAAATTAAAACCACAATGAGATACCACTTTACACCAGTCAGGATGGCTATCATAAATAAAGCAACAAACAACAAATGTTGGAGAGGGTGTGGGGAAAAGGGGTCCTTAGTCCACTGTTGGTGGGATTGCAGACTGGTACAACCATTATGGAAAACAGTATGGAATTTTCTCAGAAAAATAAAAATTGACCTGCCCTTTGACCCAGCAATTCCACTGCTAGGATTATACCCCAAGAATCCTAAAACATCAATTTCAAAGAACCTATGCACCACAATGTTCATAGCAGCACAATTTACAATAGCCAAGAGTTGGAAGCAACCTAGGTGCCCATCAGTAAATGAATGGATCAAAAAATTGTGGTACATATACACAATGGAATTCTATGCAGCAGAGAGAAAGAAGGAGCTACTACCCTTTTGCAACAACATGGATGGAACTGGAAAGCATTATGCTGAGTGAAATAGGCCAGGCATTGAAGGACAAATACCATATGATCTCACCTTTGACAGGAAGCTAAAGAATAAAACAAACAAGCAAACAATAAAAACAAAGACACTGAAATAGAGAACAAGTGGGCAGCGACCAGAGGGGAGAGGGAAGGGAACTTAAGGGGAAAAAGGGGGAGGGATTTTGAGGAACAAGTATGAAAGACACAAAGATGAGGACTGTGGGGGGTGGGAATGGGAGGGAGAGGGAAGACCGGGCAGGGGGGTGGGGTGGGATGGGAGAAATAGATTAAAAAAAATGTACTTGAAAAGTAACTAAATAAAATTTAAAATTAAAAAAAAAATAGATTAATTGTATATAAAATCAATGTTTTACAATGTTTTAAAAAGATTTTATTTACCATATTTATTTTTAGAAAGAAGGGAATAGCGGGAGAAAGAAAGGGAGACAAACATTGATTTGAAAGAGAAACATCAATTGGTTGCCTTTGGACAGAACCCACAAACCAAGCATGTGCCCTGACCAGTAATCAAATCCGTGACCTTTAACTTTGTGGGATGACACTCAACCAACTGAGCTACACCAGTCAGGGCAGTTTCATAATGTATGATGTTTTTAGAATAGAAGGATGTATAAGGTTTATTTTCTCAGATTGCAAAAACAAACAACAAACAAAAACCCCAACACACACACAAATTAAAAACACTTTTGGAAAGAAAGAATTTGATCTAGTTCAAGATAAAAACAAGTGACAGCTTGAGGAAAAGTTTTAAGAAAACTATTTACAACTTCAGGGAAAACAATGTAAGCACAAAAGCTAAACTGCGTAACTTCAATTGCCTAGTCCTGATTCACCCCTAGAAGAAAATTTTCCTTAAGAACCCTCTTAGCAATAAGCAACTGATAAATAAATATAATCACAACTTAATGTCACAAGGGCTTGATATTAAAAAAAAACTTTACAGAATATTTAAATTAAAAAGTGGGAAGATGTGATATATCCTAGAAATAAACAGTTTGTCAATTAAAAAAATGAAATTAAGAAAACAATTCTGCTGGGTGAAAAAGGCGTAGGGATTAAGGGGTACAAATTGGTAGTCACAAAATAGTCCCAGGGATATAAACTACAGCACAGGGAATATAGTTAATAATATTGTACTAACTATGTATGGGGCCGGGTGGGTTAGTTGAAATATTGGGGAAGAACACTTTGTAATACATATGATTGTCTAACCATTATGCTGTACGCTTGAAAGTAATACAAAATAATATCGAATGTTAAGTGTGATTAAAAAAATTTTTTTAGTCCTGGCTGGTGCAGCTCAGTGGATTGAGCACAGGCCTGTGAAGCAAAGGGTCATTGGTTCAATTCCCAGTCAGGGTACATGCCTGGGTTGCAGGCCAGGTCCCCAGAAGGGGACACATGAGGCAACCACACACTGATGTTTCTCTCCCACTCTTTCTCCTTCCCTTCCCCTCTCTCTAAAATAAATAAATAAATAAAATATTTTTAAAAATAAATAAAAAAAGAAGTGAGACTTAAAAAAATAAAATAAAATAAATTTTAAGGTATATAGCCTATACACTGAAAATTACAAAATGTTGCTGAAAGAAATTAAAGACAGCCGAAATAAACAATGGTCATCTCACATTCATGCACTGGACAGCTTATTGTTAAGATGACAACCCTCCCAAAGCAATCTACAGAGTCAATGTAATCCTGATCAAAATGGAAAACCTGATCAAAAAGTTAAAATCTGATTCATAGGAATTGCAAGGGGCCCAGAACAGCCAAAACAATGTTGCAAATAATAAAAGCAAAGTTGGAGGACAAATACTTCTCAAAACAATGTAGTACTGACATAAGGACAGGAGCACAGATTGACAGAACTGACAGTCCAGAAATACACCCATGTATCTATAGTAAAATGATTTTTGGCAAGGATGCCAACACCATTCAATGGTGAAAGAACAGTTTTTCCCCCCAATAAATGGTGCTGGGACAACTAGATATCCACATGGGAAAGAATCAAGGTGGACCTTGGCTCATGTAACATGCAAAACTAAAATGGATCAAAAGCCTAAAACTTTTTAGAAGAAAATAGGTGGCCATGGGAAATGACTGCCTAATTGGCACAAAGTTTCCACTTAGGGCAATGAAAAAGTCTGTAAGCAGACAGTAGTGCAGACTGCACAACACTGGAAATATACAAAATGTTGGTCACTTGTGTATTTTATGTTAAATAAATTTTACCTCAATAAAAAAATTATGATATTCTTACACACTTATAATAAACCTGAGTATGAAATTAAGAAAACAATTCTATTTATAGTAGCATCAAAAAGAATAAAATATTTAGAAATAATTTTTTAAATATAACACTTATATTTAAAAACTACAAAATATTGTTGAAAGAAATTACAGGTGTTTTGAATAAATGAAAAGACATGTCATGTTTATGGACCAGAAGATTTAATACTGTTAAGATGGCAATACCCCCAAATTGATCTATGGAGTCAATGCACTCTTAATCAGAATCCTGACTGACTCTTCATAAAAACTGACAAGCTGATCATAAAACTCAAATGGAAACTCAAGGGACTCCAAATAGTCAAAACAACCTTGAAAAAGAAGAACTAAGTTCAGAAACTTCCTTATTTCAAAAGTTATTACAAAGCAACAGTAATCAAGATAGAGTTACCATCTGACTCAGCAATTCTATTCTTATCTATTATATAACACACAAGAGAAACGAAAACATATCAACACTAATTTGTAATAGCCAAAGGCAGAAACAACCCAAATGTCCACCAACTGGTAGATAAACAAAATGTGGTGTGTCTGCACAATGGAATATTATTTAGCCACAATATGTAATAAAACTTCTGTTACATGCTAAACAGAGATGAACCTTGAAAACGTTATGCTAAGAAAAAATGTTAAGTAAAAGAAGCTAGTCACAAAAGACCACTTATGGTAAGGTTGCTTATTCTGGTTATTTCATATAAATAGAACCATAATTTATATGAAATATCCAGAATAAGCACCTCAACAGAAACAGAAGTGAGTAGACTGGCACAGCCTGGAAGAATGGAGGACTGAGAGAACAACAGTTAAAGGACAGGATTTCTCTGGATTGTGATGACAGGTAAGCAAGTCTGTGAATATACTAAACACCATCAAATTACACTATGTAAATGGGTGAACTGTATGGTATATGAATTGCATCTCAATAAATCTGTACAAGAAAAAGAAAAATACATACAGTGTGCTTCCAGTTATAAAACGACAAAAACAAACAAAACGCTGATCTATGCCATCAGAAGTCAGACAGCAGCCATCCTGGCAGGGGGAGGCTAGTTACTGGAAGCGGGTATAAGAGAGTTTCTGATGTACTGATAAAACTCTGTTTCTTGGTCTGGATGTTGGCTAAGGGTTAGTTCTGTTTATGGAAAGTCTTCAAGCTATTTTAGTTATGATATGCACATTATACTTCAACCACAATGTAAAAGTATTTTTTACAATTACTATCTAGACCTTTAAAATGCCTAAAAAAGCCCCAAACATTTTAGCCTATACAAAAGAAACAAAATGGCAACCACATCCAGCAGGTTACCTCCTGTGTAACCTCCATAGGAGGAAAACATACTGAGAGCCTTATTTATGACAATAAAATAGTACTGTCTTATAAATTAAGAAAATTTGTCCAAGGCTCAGTGTCCAAAATCCAAACTATTATTTATTTGTCAATAGATGAGGAAATAATCACGCTATGTTATTAAACTTATGGTGAAGAACACAAGATATAGAAGAGTTCTGGTTCTAGCACTTACTGTGGGACTTTAATAAAATCAGTTCAGTTAGTACTTCCCTAGATCTCTTCTCTTGAGGATAATCCCACTTCATGGGATTTGGGGGAGAATCAATAAGGTTTGATATATGAAAGCACTCAAAAAAAAAAAAAAAAAAAGAAAATGTATAATCACTATAGTTCAAAATGAAATAAAAAAGCTCTTCAGTGAACTATAATATTAAGAAATCTAGCAGTTCACTCAATTATTCTATAAAAAAGCACCCCAAATTTAGTTACTAAAATTTCCCAAATAAGTACACAAAGCACTCTTCCAAAGCTACATTGACTTGTTGTTCCCCTTACTCATGCATTCATTGGCTGACTCTTGCTTGTGCCCTGACCTGCAGCTCACACATACCAGGACAACACTCTAACCAACTGAGGTGCACAGACAGGGTGCAAACACTTTGATTGGAATATACAGTAGAGGCTAATTTTGTTCCTCCTTTGTTTCTTCAACTACTTATAACTTTCAAATGGGATGTTACTGGATTGAAGGAAAGGACTGATACACCTTTCTAAAGGCAGAGGCAAATCTGCGAGTACCTGAGATGCCAAACTGTCAGCACCGCCTTGGGGAGGGTCATCAGGAGGGCCAGAGCCGGCAGCAGTCAGCGAGGCATTCCCTCCCAGAAATACATCCCCTCGCACTGAGTGGATCAGATCGTTCAAGTATTTATAATAAAGGTTGCTGGACAAAAAGCCAGGCAAGAACACCTAAATGGGAGGACCAGCATTATTTTAAAAATGAAATCAAATACAATCAAAACCTTATTTAAAATGAAACTTTACCTACATTTCTACTAGCTAGCACAAATGATTTTCCTTTTTATATTTTAAGTATTATCCCTTTATACAAAGTTTACATTATAAATAAAATTATATGTGGGCAATTTATAGGTACCTCCCCCCAAAAAAACCCATTTGCTGAAACTATTACACAGCCTTGATATTTAGACTCTTAATGACCAGAAAATAGTCTAGGCAGTGGATATATACTGAAACTAGATTTTTCTGGTTTGTTATAAATATTAAAGTCTCTGCATGTATTGACTTACTTTTGAACTGATTTCCTTATTATAAGTTACTAGGAGTATGATTACTGAGTTAAACAGTATGGACATTTTACCTTTGACATATACGGCCAATTTACCCTTCAGAAGTATGCTGTTATTTTGTCCTACTAGCAACACATCATCAAGGGATCTGTTTTGACACAGGCTTTCCAACATGGGGTTGTGCTGTTAAGTAAATGCCTAATAATGCATGGTTGTTTTTGTTTGCATTCAAAAATTATGAATGATGCTGAATAAGTTCTCATGTTTATTGCTGGCATTTGCTCTTACCAATCTTTCCTTCACAGCACTCAGTACAACTGTACATGGTTACACCCATGTTTAATGTGTGCCTTGTCACAGACAGAGCTCCAGGAGGGCAGAAGTCACGTTTCTTTTGTGTACCACTGACACCAAGAGCTAGCACAGAAATACTCACGGAAATGGTGAAGAAATTGCCGTGGTCTTTTTATTTATCTACTTGATTCTTAGAATTAGTGTAAGTTCTTTACATATACACATTTGGTAAAATATATTATTAGAATCCATTTTCTCTGTGTTTTCATTTTCTTTATTACCAAAGTTTACATTCTTTATATGACACAGACCTGGAACTTTTCCTTTAAGATCAGAAAGATTTTAATTTTAAACATGAAAAAATTATTATCCCTGGGCAATAGCTGATACTCTATTCAGTTTACCACTAGATTTTTTTTTTTTTAAGATTTTATTCATCCATCCTTAGAGGGGAAGGGAAGGAGAGAGGGAAAGAAACATCAATGTATGGTTGCCTCTCGTGTGTCCCCCGCTGGGAACTGACCTGCAACCTAGGCATGTGCCCTGACTGGGAATCGAACCTCGATACTGTGGTTCACAGGCCCGTGCTCAATCTACTGAGCTACACTAGCCAGGGCTTACCACTAGCTTTTTAATGATTGGTTTTTATATTTAACTTTTCCATATTACTGGAGTTCAGTGTTTATGTGGATATTATATAACAGTGCTTGCTTAACTCCTTCCACCTAGATACACAAGACATATGTCAGCGATGTCACCTCATGGGCTTATCCTGGGCTCTGTGCAATTCCCTGTAAAAGCTGTTCTAGTTCATTAGAAAAATAAACCATCCACAATAAACTCTAATACTTTATTATTAATAAGCTAGTAGTGATACCCTAATCAGTTATCATGATACTATATAAAACTAGTGCTCCAACCCTGTTGAAAAATATTGGTGAAAATTTCTGGTTCACTCCTAAGCTAACCTTCCCCAATACAGCTATCTAATTAATAAGCACTTTATTCATATACATTTTACCTCATTTTTATTCTCAAAATAACTTCAACATAAGTATCCATATCACCCCCATTTTACAGTTGAGGAAAATGGCATTAAAGAATTTCAGTTACTGCCTGAAGCTCATAAAGGTTAAGAGTCAGACTCAAAGACTGCTCTTAATCATTATGCTGTGCTACTTAAATTTTCCACTGTTCTGTTGATTTGTTTTTTCCCATTTTGTATTTTCTTGGTTCTAACAGTAAATCTTATAGTTTAACACTTTCAAAGTTCTTGGTTACCTTCTCCATGGTTGTCCAGGCCTGACGTAATGGAGTTGTAAAACAGTTAGGGAGTGGCCCACCTTCCCTGCAGATATTAGATTCAATTTCTAATCTCACAGCATCATCGAATCCAAGAGGATGTGTGGCCTGCAGGGAGAAGTACCTATGGTGGAAAGACAGCCAAAGTAAAAGAAACTCCGCATCAAATACACACAACATCTGCCATCCACACCAGAGACCCTCCTCTGGGGGTATCTGATTCGGCCTGAACTGGACTACAGAGCTGTGTACTGACAGCCTGGCTGCAACCTCTACTCTCATTACGCCAAAGACAGCTGAACCTGCTTGCTGCCGCTGTCTGCCTTCCCTCACACTCAGTTCTCCTTTAAGATTTTCTAGGGTCAGGCTACAATCACACAAATAAATTGATCAATCACACATATTTAATGGGAATCTATTCTCTGTTCAGCACTTGGTAGAAAGCAACGGATTTGAATGAGGGTAAGACACAGTCATTTCCCCTGGAAACTGAATAGAAAAAAATCCCTACACAGGATTTAATGAGAGCACACTGTCACAACTATGAGGAACACATAACATACGTGTACAAATTCAAAACAAAATTGCACTGAGGGTGAAGTGGATGGATTTGATGTATTTGGATAGAATAATAGGAGTTGCTGATAACTAGTATTAAAGGAAAATGAGTAACTGACGATAACTTAAAGATTTTTAACTTATTAGGATATAATGCAATTAGTGTTTTGGTAAGCAGATCGTAAAGTGGATACTAAAAAGAAAAAAGCATTAAAGGATAAACATAGGTTTATGGTCTCTACCAAGTATTCTAATGGCTTCTGACTCCTCTCTGTGATACACATTACAGGAAGGCGGACAAGGCATGACTGTGATGATGCCGATAGGCGGGTGAGGGTCTCTAATAGTAACCTTCACTGAGAAATGGCTCCCTGCATGGACATGGGAGCACTAGGGAAAAGAGCATCTGTGCCCTGTGTGGTGACTGAGTTCCAGCCAGGACCTTACTAGTGCCACTCTTCTGTTATCGCAGAAAGAAAACTCTTGTTTTTTTGTTATCAGTGCTTTCTTAGCAAAAAGAGAATCTTCCATCTTGTAACAAAGAAATTCATAAATATTCCTTTGTGATTTGAATTTTTGGGCACCCCAGACTAAATCTCTAAATGTAAATACCTATGTATTTCAATGACCATATAACAATGTTTCTTACATAATATTTTCCACAAATATACTACAATAAACACTGGACAAATATGAAGAATTGCATTCCAGTCCAAGTGCTGCCACTAACATGTTCTGTAACTTTGAGAAATACACTACCTCCCTGGCCTTAGTTTTCTTATCTGCAATATAGGAAAATCAGCCTAGATCCTCAATCTGGCTGTTCATCACAATCATCTGGGGTGTCTCCTAAAAATAAAGATTCCCAGTCACACCTCAAACCTGCTGAATGAACATCTCTCAGAGAGGCCTGAAACCTACTCTGAATAAGCTCCTGGCGACTCTCAGGTGGACAGCCAGCCCAGCCTGCAGAGCCATGCTCAGCAATCACTGATCTGGAGGCTCTCTGCTTTCTTCCAACCCTAACATCCATGGGTTCTCCTCTCCCCTGAAGCTATCCCCTTAGCACTTGTTTGTGGATACAAATAACACATTACTTTTCTTCACAAAATAAGAAAAGTTAAATGAAGCTGGCCTCAGCTTTATCACTTATCTGATATTTTCAGTTCTGTTCACTGTAAGATTGCACTGCCCTCTCCTTTCTACTGAAAACTAATTATTCACTGAATACTTAAGCTGGCTGAGCAATCTGCACTAGAAAACACAACATGCCATACATGTTCATTCAGGACCCTTTATAACCTATTCCAATTAGTTACATCTTCCTCTAATATTCCATAGCCAAGTTTCAATTACCGAAAGTTAAGTTTCTTGAAAGTACCACATTCCCTCAAGTTTCTGTGACTCTGCTTGTCAGAGCTCTACCTAGAATGTTCTTTTCTGTCTTCTCTGGCTAGCAAAATTCAATTCCTTCTTCAGGACCCAACTTAAACCTTTCTTCTATGAAATCCTTGACGAACTCCATCCACACTGCTGTTCTACCTGCCACACACAAGACTCCCCTTTCTCTCCAGCAGAAAGTTTTGCTCTAAGCAAACACATCATGTGCAAAGGAGCTCTATGCTGCTCCCTGAGTCTCTTAACAGCGGAGACTGAGTTCATTCATTTGTATTTCTGAAGTACGTATCAAATACTTGGTAAATATTTGCTAAATGCTGAATACATCTGCAATAAAACTCACTTGTCATATAAAATCATGGCATCGTTCTGCGCCTCCTGTCCATCATATTGGCCCTTTTTGGCAGCAAGCTGAGACTGGAAGTTATCTGCTGCCAACCAGAACTGTAAGATATTCACTGCATCTTCTTTTTCCATATACTAGGAAGGAAAAATACAAAAGAGGAAAATAAGATCACATTCAGAGGTATCTCACCGGCACTAATTTATAAGCCCTAACTATTAAAATATAGGATATGAGAAAACCAAAACAAAACCCCAAACCTAACAGGTCTATGTGTTCACTTAATGCCAATCACACTTTACAGTCACCTGAAATTTAAAGTTTAAAAACATTGCTTCAGAGGAAAAAAAACACCAAAAAACTTACAAAAATACAAGCATCACATAGCTGGATGCAAACTTTAGTGAAATGGAGTAAAAACTACAGTAAAGATGGATTAGTGGTTCCTTGCTGGCAGATATGCAAAGAATAAAGTAACAGACCAACCCTTTTATACCTGATCATTTCCATCATTCTATGCAGCCATAGTAACCTGAACAAACTTGTGGCAAAAGAGAGGGAGTGAAAAAATAAATCAACTAAACTGTATTCTTGTGAAGGTACAGAATAAAAGTGTGTATTGAAGTTACTGCTTTGTGAGACTGGGAATCCTCTTACCTCTGCTTCATAGTCATTTGCTTACAACTAAAGAATTTCATTTATTTATTTATTTATTTATTTATTTATTTATTTATTTATTTATATTGATTATGCCATTACGGTTGTTCTATTCCCCCCTTCATTCCCCTCCACCCTACCCCCACCCCGTCCCCACCATTACCCCCCTTTAGTTTATGACCATGTGTCTCAAGTTCTTTAGATTCTATATTTCTCATATTATTCTTGCCCCCCCATCAATTTTCTACCTACTGTCTGTGCTACTTATTTTCTGTACCTTCTCCCCCCTTCTCCTCCTCCCACTCCCCTATTGCTAACCCTCCTTGATATCTTCATTTCTATGTTTCCACTCCTGATCTAGCTGTCCTTTTAGTTTGCTTTTGTTTTAGGTGTGGTTGTTGATAACTGTGAGTTTGCTGTCCTTTCACTGTTCATGTATTTTTAACTTCTTTTTCTTAGATAAGTCCCTTTAACATTTCATATAATAAGGGCTTGGTGATGATGAACTCCTTGAATTTGGTCTTATCTGAGAAGCACTTTATCTGTCCTTCTATTCTAAATGAAAGTTTTGCTGGATAGAGCAATCTTGGATGTAGGTCTTTGGATTCCATGACTTGGAATACCTCTTTCCAGCCCCTTCCTGCCTGTAAGGTCTCTTTTGAGAAATCAGCTGATAGTCTGATAGGAACTCCTTTGTAGGTGACTGTCCCCTTATCTCTGGTTGCTTCTAGGATTCTCTCCTTCATATGAATCTTGGCTAATGTAATGATGATGTGCCTTGGTGTGTTTCTTCTTGGGTCCAACTTCTTTGGGACTCTCTGAGCTTCCTGGATTTCCTGGAAGTCTATTTCCTTTGCCAGAACGGGGAAATTCTCCTTTATTATTTGTTCAAATAAGTTTTCCACTGGTGAATGTTCCTTTCCCCTTTCTTGGTACCCCTATAATTCGGATGTTGGAGTGTTTAAAGATGTCCTGGAGGTTCCTAAGACTCTCCTCATTTTTTTGAATTCTTGCTTCTTCAGTCTTTTCTGTTTGGCCATTATTTGCTTTCTTCTGGTCCACTCCATTAATCTGAGTCCCAGTTTCCTTTTCATTGCTATTGGTTTCCTGTGCAATTCCATTCATTTCAATTAGTTTCGCCTTCATATATTTGTCTAATTTGTGGCTATAATCAACCAGTTCTGTGAGGATCCTGATGACCAGTGTTTTAAACTGTGCGTCTGAGAGTTTTGCTATTTCTTCATTACTTAGATTTATAGGCTCTGGGGCTCTGAGATCTTCTTGAGCCATTTTTGGTCTCTTCTCACCCGTTAAGTATGAGTAGTGGAGCCTTGGACTCTCAGGTCGCTTGGCTGTGACGCTATTATGTGGGAGCGGGGTCAGAGCGGGGAAATGGCGACTCCCTCAGCTGTTTCTCGCCCCTGGGTGGGGAGCAGAGCCTTAGGTGGTTCACCAGGGCCAGGCCACTAAGAGTTGTTGGGTTATGAAGCTGTATGTGGAGGCGGGGTCAGAGTGGAAATGGCGGCGCCCTCTGCTGCCACTCGCAGCGGGGACCTGTTGGGTCCCGTCCAATCACCCACTCCCTCCCTTGTCTATCTGCCCACCAATGCGCGACCACAGTCAACCCGCAGCCCTGCTCCCTCGCTGTTTCCTCGCGGTCGCTTGCTGAGTCGCTTACTAGGTCCAACCCTGTGCCTGGGTTCTATGTGCCTGAGTCCATCTGACCGAGTTTTCCTGTGCAACCCCGCTCCGACAGCTGCTAGTTTCACCTCTTACCAGTCAGGCTGAAGAATCTGTTGTTAACAGACTTCCGAAAAGTTCAATTTTCTGTGTTCTGGCTGTGTTTTCTGTTGCTAATATTTAGTTGTCTCTAAACTTAGTTGTGAGAGAAAGCACAGCTTTTCCACCTATGCCTCCATCTTGGCGGAACAACTAAAGAATTTCATTTGCTGAAGCCTACAAATACTGTTATACTATCATATTTTGCTGTGTATAATGTGCACTTTCTTGCCCAAATTTTTGAGGGAAAAATAGGGTGTACATTACACATGGATACTACCTGAAATACCTTGTATCTGTTCTTGTGTTTTGTAATTATTTGCTACATAATATGCTAAA